ACTAATCTGGACGCTCGATTGGCAAGAGCCACAATTCGTCCTGTGAGAACTGAACTGAACCGGTTGTTTAAATCGTTACACATCAGCGCACTTATTCGAAATGCTGCCAAATTGTTGGTCGTTTGCTCTCTTGTCCATAATTGGCATATGTAGCGGACTGAAAAATGTTAAAGTAGCAAGATCAGTGGATCTGAGATATGCTGTTACCCGGATAGAACATTCTATCACCATTAATGATGGATCCGCCGACTACCATTTCGTAGTTCACCCTAGCGAAGCTGCGAGATTGGCGTTCATAGGTGCTACAGTAAGTTATGCAACTTTTCACTATCCTCTCTAGTCCAAGGAAGGAAAATCTGAGCTTAAAGTCACGAAGCTAGACAAGCCGTTTACATATGCTATTCATCTAGGGAAGAATTCTGGCCACGAATTCGTAGTCACTACAGTACTCACGGCGCAGTTGGAACCCAAACCGGCAGAAATACTCCAGGGCGAAAATCAATATGTGAAGTATACAGGAAACATTCTTTTCTATTCAGAATACACAACCGATGAGCAAGTGACCAATATATTGTTGCCAGGTGGAGAAGTGCTTCGTTATACCGATGCACCAGAGCCCGTATCAAAAAGTGGAAGCAAGATAACTTATGGTCCTTATAAAGATAAACCAGCTCACTCATATGTACGTTGTTTCATTTTGGAACTTTCGATGATTTTAGTTACCCCTTCACATCCATTTTGAAAACAATAGGCCATTTTTGACCGTCAAGAAAATGACGCGCCATATTGAGGTTTCTCACTGGGGGAATGTCGCGGTTGAAGAGACGCTCGAAATCGTTAACGCTGGAGCCAAATTGCGGGGTTCCTTCTCAAGACTTGACTTCGATTTGGGTCATGGTCGCAAGTCTGCCGTGGTATCTTTCAAAACGGCACTGCCTGCCGCCGCGAAGGATATATACTACCGAGATGAAATAGGAAACATTTCTAGTAGCGCCATATTAGGACTTCTGGATGCTGTAGAAGTACGTCTGCAGCCGCGTTTTCCTCTATTGGGTGGCTGGAAAACGCAGTACACGCTGGGTTACAACGTTCCCGCTCATGAGTTTTTATATCGTACAGGTGAGACAAGCATGCGTTTGCTCATTTTCCTGACTTAGTTTTCAATTTATGGTGGAATCTCGAATAGTTTTATTTTTGTGCTAATTTTCGCTGAACTCAAAAGCTTCGGTTTTTTCATTTATTACAACCATTTACCATACACCGTCGCGTGGCGGTTTTTGTTGCTGTCTTTAAGCTGCCTTATTGCGTTGAAGAGTAGGAGGATTGAAATGTTGAGAGTTGAGTCAAAAGACATGATAAATTTATGCAGGTATTGAGATGCACAAGCGCCACTGTTTGCGACAGCCATATATCACGGTCTCACCACCGGTCCCCATCCAGATAGCTTAACTCGATCCATATAACCAATTCTCCTGGTTAGGGTTTTCATACTCCCACACCAAGTCCCAGTTTGACCACCTTTTAGTTTTTCCAACTATCACCTGTCTCGGCGAACGACACATCATCATTATCATCGTACAGCAAAATACAGTGAGGCGAACTTCGCTGATCGCAGCCAAACTCGCAATGCATACAAGGTTAGTTGTAAAATTTAAAGTGAACAGGGATTAGGCCTACTTTAAGGGAGGGAGAAGGTGAAGCTCTATAGTCAACGCAGAGAGTACACAACTGAACTCTGCATACATACCGTTGCAAGGTGCAAAGCACATACCGAATGTGGCAAATGCACTTGTTAGTCTATCATGTATGCTTTGACGACGTCATCAGCGTATTCTAAATTGCACAACTTTTCTCCAGTTGCCCGTTCAATACCTACGCTTGGCAGACCACTAAGTGCGTCCCCCAGTAGTTCATCTACGAAGAAATTGATCAGGAACGGCGAGAGAGGGCACTTTTGACAAACACCACTGCTGGTGATGAATGGCCTACTTAATTTATCATAGACACTTATACGACCAGAGGTATGTGAATACAGCAACCACAGTAGATTAATGTACTTCTGGGGCATTTTTTTTTCGAAGAAAGGAACCCATCAGAGCTTCGCGGTCAACTGAGTTGGAGGCTCCTTTCAGGTCGAGAAACATTGCGATCGTTGGTCGGCGGTGGGTGTGACGCAGCTCAAGGACCTGACGCAACGTAAAAATTTGATCAATAAATCCACTGCCAGGCCGGAATCCGGCTTGCTGTTCACAGATGTTGGTCTCTCTTAAAGGCGTCAGACGTCGAAGTATGACCGAGGCTAGCTTTTTGGTGTTGATCGGGATCAAACTAATCGTGCGGTGGTTTTCACAATCGTTGCGGGATCCTTTCTTCCATGAATATTGGAACGACCAGCGATTCGCCCTAAGGGATGCGCTCTTGCGTCCAAATGTTGCGCAATAAAGTAGTAATAACGCTTACGAGATTATTATCCCCATCTTGAACAGAGTGGGAGGGAGCTCATCCGGTTTCACTGCCTTTCCTCGCTCCAGAGCCTGAATGCAAGACCGAACCTCTGCTTCCGTTGGAGAATTGCACGGCACTGACCACGGAGCTTCAGTTGCAGATTAAGCATCCTGGTTAGCACCAGACCAGCTGAGCTGTTCGCTGAAGTATTCTGCCCAGTGATCAAGTCGTTCATTCCTATTGTGAATACATTGTCCCGTCTTATCGCAGACTGCTACACTAACGAGTTCGCCGACCTCCCGTATTGCGTATCAGTTAGAACAGCCTTTGACCATTCCCTGATGCAGCTGCTACTTCCATTTCACTAGCTATTGTTGCCCACCAGTTATCATGGTCCTTCTTGAGGCTCTTCGTAGGCTGACTTTGTAGATGCCACCTAACTCTACTTTGATCCTGACAGATCGGGATTTGTCGTTTTTTCTCCATCAAAACTGCTGACTCCTGAGATATCCAATGCCTCCGACAGCCCTAGCCTCAGACCCACAAGCAACATTTGCTGCGGAATGCATTGCTTGCCTAATCTGACTCCACTGCTCATCTACATCACGTTGAGGCGCGCCTAGCTCATGCACTAGCTCTGACTCATAGAGTGCATGAACTGCTGAAACGGATAGTAGATGATGAGATATACGAGTTTGCTGGTTCTGTCGCCGACTAGTCGGTCGGAGAGTGAACTGCATCAATACCAATGCGTGGTCAGACTCAACGCAAGTGGTCCAATATGACCTGCAATTTTGCACTGAGCCACGCCAACGGTAGCTTACTGCTATGTGATCGATTTGAATTAGCCTACCAGTTGAATTGGGGTGCCACGTTGCCGTCCGTCGAGAGCTGTGTCGGAAGTTTGTGCTTGATAGGGACAGGTAATGGTCTGCACAGAACTGGAGAAGTCGCTGTTATCTGTTCGTTGGTAGGGCAGAGCACAACTACTGCTCAGGCAAGCTTCTGGTGCGTCCAGTTTTCCAACCTTTGCGTTGAAGTCACCTACAAGTACAACTATGTCGGAGCTTCGACTCATCCGAATGAGATCGGTGAGTTCATCGTAGAAAGCGTCCTTTTGGATATCAGAACTGCAATTGGTCGATGCATATGCCAATACGATGAACCAACACCTTTTGGTGTTGCTTCTCTTCCGGACGCTGATTAAACCGTAGGGACGTACTGAGCATAAACGACTGTCGATAAGAGAAGACTCCGCCCTGTTACTGAGTACAATACCTACCCCGCGCTGATCAACTGAACGGGCTTCGTCCTCGCCTGATGTGCGGAGAACGTATCTGGATGACAAATTTGGCGCGCTCACGTGGCCTATAGTAGTAGGATCCTGGATTCGAATCTCCGATACACAGCAAATATTGATCCCTTGAAATTCCATTGTACACACAAGACAAGCTTGTTGACCTACCTGTGCAGTCCTTACTTTTAAGGCCCCCAGGTTCTGTGGTTGACGAGGCTTCAGAATCTGCAATCTATTTTGTGGTAAACCACTTACCGGGCTTCTTGGCACCGAACTTTGGTGAGCAACATCCAAGTTGGTTGAGTGATAAATGGAGAGGGCTGGGTGATGAAGAAAAATAATTAAACCAAGGTTTGGAAATCTAAGCAGTAGCCCACCCCGCTCGATGCAATGGGCAGCGCGATCCTGATTATCCTGCGTGACGACTGATGCAGTATGAAATTTCTTTGAGTTTTTCTGCATTGGGGTTTGATGGACAGGTACTGCTAGGGTGTCCAGCCACTAAGTTGGAAAACGATTAGAGTTCTCTTCCAGATCCTTTAGTTCTGACGAGAACCTAACCGCAGGGCAGCGGGTGAAGCGAAGTGGAGGCCCATTTACTTGGATTGCTTACTCCACCATTTTTTCCCGACTGTAACGCAAATTCCAGTCGAACCCCCAACTTGGAGGACCAGGAGACTGGACCCCTGACGTCTACCCATTGATCTTGCAGGTATGATAATATCTCCTGGCTTGATAAAAGCCATCCTGTCTAGCTCGATGGGTCAGAGAGGTGCACAAGCCATCACACCACGTCAAGGTGCAGTCTCGTGATTGTGGCATGTTTTTCTATATCAGCTCAGTTCAGACTGTATGAAAAACAGATCACACCACAATAATCTTTATAAAAAGAAAACAGGTCCATTGTTTGCCCATGGGCTGGATACTCCTAGGTTTCTCAGGCCATAGGTGAATTTTCTTAAGGAATTCATATCCGAAGCCTATCCAAGACCTAACTCGCCAGGTAGCGGTCGGTATATAAACTCGGCAACCCATTTGGTGCCAGTGTCCAGTTCATCAAATCGTACGCTTTTAAACGGGGTTAGACGTCCAAGGTACCCAATCGAGCGGGTGACTACCGCCATAACCGGGAAAGCGTGGATAGGTGTAGTTCGTATCCCTTTTCTTGCTTGGTTTGGAATCGGGGTTTTTGACCAACTATCATAGGGTAACTGCCAGTGGTTCACCAACCCGGTTATAACCCAGGACATTGGCTTTTCGTCCCTTCATTTTGGTGGAAAAACAGCTCCATGATAAGACAGTGAGTGGAACTTTCTCAGCAGAAACTATTTGGGAGCATCTCGCGAAATGCAAGGGAGGAGTGACCAGCGGCAACCCAAAATACCCACCCCGACCGTATTGATCGGGGCGTGCTCAACACGTGTACCAACCAGCGTAATCTATGGAGGTCGAATGCTTGCCCAAGTGAACTACCGCGATTACCTGAAACTGCGTCTAACCTCAGCATTGCTTGTATGGTTTCCAAACCGAACTCTTACAATGCGGAGTAGACAGTTGTGTTCGAACACCGACAGCCTGTTTTTATCCTGCTCCCTTGATGACCTGGTCTGCGCCATAAAGCAGCATTGGTCGAACTGCTGCAG